ACGACCTTTGTACTCGGTTGCTGCTTTATGTAGGTTGCTAAGCCTTCAAAAATTTTGCACGTGGAGAATAGGAAACAAAATATTTTTTTTTAGGTTTTATATATATATACAGTTGAATAAACTAAAAAATCATAAATTACTACATCAATACCATAGAATTCCACTATAATTTATCAAGCTTTGTAACTAAGCTATATTTTAGTCTAAAAAATATGAAATTTCAAGCAGACAAAAGACACAATCTACCACCTAGAATTCTTGGTTTAAAAGAAAGAAATGGAATCCTAAGAAATTAAAATGGCCAAGGAAGCCGCTAGGGGGACATTCTGAGCTTCCAGTTGGTTATTCATATTATGTATAGAAGTAAGTGTATATAAGGGAGTGTTTCCAAAAATTGAAAGAGGTGGGTGGGGTGCCACTGTGTTTGATTTATTACATGAGCAATATCTTAGCAAATAGAAAAGATAAGATGTTCTTATCTTATATTCTAGCTTGTTAATATCAGTAATTTGAGTTTCTAATTCATACGAAACTATAGCCATAGTAGTTTGACTTCACAAACTTCTAATTTGAACCAGTGCTGCATTCAACATACCATGTGACACAAAAATTGATGTTTATCTGTGTTTTCTTAATATTTACTTTTAAGTTAAGAAATTGAGTAATGTATAATACTAACAATTGAATTATAAACTACAGTTTGATTCCTAAATTTATTGACATAAATTCATGAAATAGTAATTCAATAAAATTTTTAATGCGAGTCAACAAACGAGATGATGTGGCATTCACCCGTTACCCATTTCAAAAGTGTTAATAACACACAGTTTTGGCCATACGACACACTACCACGTGTCTTGATATCTTTATGGTATCAATTGGTCAAATGGTGCCTGAAAGCCCTGCATGCAATTTAACAAAGTACATTAAATATGATAGATGCTAAGATTATTGGTATAGCTGCAAGCACTACAAATCTGGCTAAGTTGGTTAATATGTTACACCAAGATAGATGCTTGTATATGTTAGTACATATATACCTTTCATCATATGCAGATCAGTTTATTTATATTTATCCACATGAATATAATATATACAATAGCACAGGTTCTTATATATAAAGAATTTGGCTTGGATATTGAGATTTGGTAAAGACTGCAGTAATTAGCTTAAACTGCATATATAGAAACTTCTGTTGAGTCTTATTAATGCTGTCAAAGAATGTGTTTGGATTTATCCCAGATGGAAGGTACACAATTTGGACATAAACTTTTTTTTATAGTGGGCTAACATGAATATGTAAGTTAAATTATTGCATTATACTTGATTTATTATGTACAAAGAAAAGGGAGAGGGGGTGTGACTGTAGTATTTGATTTTCTTAATAATTTGTATCCAAAAGTGATTTTGCTACTAAGTAAAAGAGATATTTTCTCATTCTTATGTATTCTTTCAGAGCTCTTTGTGGCCTTTAACTTTTGGTTTGGCATGTTGTGCTGTTGAGATGATGCATATGGCTGCTCCACGATATGATATGGATCGTTTTGGTGTTGTGTTTCGAGCTAGCCCTCGACAAGCTGATGTGATCATTGTGGCAGGAACATTATGTAACAAGATGGCTCCAGCACTGAGAAAGGTAAAACAAAATTAATGAAAGATTTAAAGAAAGAAGTCATGAAACTTTCTTTGAGCTTTATTAGTGAGCTTGAACACATTTTTTATACCTTTTAACAAGATTTCAAATATCTATGACATTAAAGTCCTAGATAGTAGCTTAACTCAGTTAGGATAAGGAAGGGTTCATCCTTACCTTGCCTCAAGAAAATTTATAACTTAAGTTCCACTTTTTTGTAAGTTATGCATGTTACACATTAACAAAGTAAACATACTACTTTTTCTATACAGTTTAGTGTTTACTGTCAAGGTGAACTAATCACACAATATTTTCTGTGTAATGTAGAATTACATAGGAACATTTAACACTAACTGTCTCAGCCATTTATATGCAGCTGAGAGCCTATTTGCAAATGTGTATTTATTGGCTGGTGGGAAATTATTGGATATCTAAAAGCCTTTGCAGAATGAGAGAGAGTTTACAAGTCATAATTATTGTTAGTCATGGAAAGAGACAGTGCTTCATCAACAACCAAATCTAACAACTAGGTGTGAAAATTTATCTCAAAAGTATACAAAACGACAGTTATGGAGAAATGAACATCAAAAAGCTGAAGCAAGCTCTGCATGAACAGAATGCAAAGCTTACAGGATAGATTAGATTAGAAGTTTACGACTGCATGGTTTATGATGTTATAAATGTTGTTAATATGTATATTTAAAACCTTATAGCATTTTTTAATGAAATTATGACAACTTTCTGATTTTACAAATATATAAATAAATATTTATTTGTTAATATGTATATTTAAAACCTGATTTTGATGTAAAAAACAACAACTATTAAACACATACATTGCCTGAGGTTCAAATGTTACTAAAACTGAATTAATACAGTAAATCGTTTTCAATATGGTACGCTACCTCTGCTCACATATATAGCTATTCTCGTTCAGTGCTGCTCTTTTTATACAAAATTTTTTTATGCATGCCACAACCTTCTATCTCCCCTCCATTGGAATTGACTGATTCCAATGCATCTCTCATGCAAATTATCATGCGTCAACCTTTCACCACTAACCGTGCGACATACTCTCATGATGCATGTGACTTCCTCTCTTCAATTCTATCAAATTATCGCTTCTTGTTTGGCAGTACTCGTGTTTAGATGTTTTATCTTTTGGTGCTTTTCATGCAATCGTAATTTTAATAACTTAATTTTCAAAGTGGGATTTCTTCATTATTATTATTATTTATTTTTTACATTGAAGAAATCTTTTAATTTAACTTAATTTCCCAGTCTTTATTTTTTTTTTTACATTTACATATTTTACATCAAACATTTTTGTTTGATTTTCATATTTCTGCAATGAATTCTGAGGTTCATATTCTCACTTCGGGTGTTATACCTCTAGCGCTATTTTCACAGGCTGCAGATGGGGGAGACCCGTTGTTGGATTTGTTTGCTGTTATCCATCATGAGATTGATTGTTATATGGGTCTACCTTTTTCAATTGAATTTGCCTCATTAATCTTCCTGAACAAGCTGAACCTGTTCCAGTGGATAAAGATTTGCTAGCTCTTTTTACACCACCATATTTTGCCATGTCTTTCCCTACCCCTTTTGCAAAATCAGTTAGGGCTAATATAGTATTTTTCTACATGATTTCTCTGGTATGTTATTTTTTATCCAATTCCCCCATTTTTCTATGACTTATTATTAGCTCCATGTTGGCTCAATTGTTGTAATTAGCTCTCACTTTACACAGGTGTTTTCACTGCAGTTGAGATTTTCTGGGTCAATATGCAACTTTGTCCTGGGTACGTTTGCCACCTTTTGTTTTTCAGGATTTCTGTATTTTTCATGGTGATATGTTTTCAATCATGTATCTGTGACTTTGGAATCTCATGTGTAATTTGTACATCAACACTAGACTCTTTCCTCTTTGGTTGCACGTTTGTTGCAGTTGGAGCCATGACACGCCTTAATTCCTTCCCGTCCTGCTTCTTATCTACCCATCCCTGTCCCCCTTCCACGGGTTTCTCATCTCATCATTTTATTCATCATAGATGGGCATGTCGCCAACAGTACCGGAGACTAACCAGCGGATTCTGGTTCAGTGAGAGCTTGACTATATTATATTCTTATGCTTTGGCAATCTTTCACTACAGTTGCATGAGTTTTTCAGGTTTCATCAGTGGGACTTGTCCTACTCTTTCTTTCCCCACCTTCTTTGTCTGTGGTACCTTTTCCTTCCCCATGACTTGGGATCCTGCCACCAGCCTGCATCTGTCCAAGGAGTTACAAGATTTTCTGTCTGTACAGGCCATTGCACCTGTTCATCATCCTTCTCCAGGCTGTTTGTTGTCCTTACGCCAAACAAGAGACTGGCAGACTGTACTAGATTTGTTCTGCATAATTCGTATTTTCAATCTGCCCCATTTTACCTGGGAGTTGTTTTTCACTCTTAAGTGTTTTTTTTTCCAGGGTTATCGATGATAAAGAGTAATGTCGGGAATGCTTATTTGCATATCCCAACATTTCATCACTTGCGACCTTCTCTTCAGTTTATTCTCCACAAGGTGGTTTCTCTATTTCCCGCACTGACCTTTGGTATTGCTTCAGCCCTGTATGTTTTGCTTTCCTCATTCTATGGTTGACTGGCTACTGTTTGCTCATTCTGAACAGGAATCTGCCTGTTAACCTTATTAGCTGCTCTTGGAGGTGGCTATAATGGGCTGGTTATGAAAAAGTCCTTACTGTGACCTATCCAATGTTTTGTCCAGTTGGATGTTTTTCTTTTTATATACAAATCTCAGTTGGGCCTGCCCTTTTCCTCTTCAATTTCATTCAATAGGTTTTCAGTTTGATTACAGCTTGCAAAGTTTTATCGCTTTTGGGGATGTGATCTCCCCTGATTGTCCTTATCCCCTTAGGTCACGTTCATTTGTGGGCTCTTTCATAAGCTTTTCACAACCAATGGAATTTTGCAGGAATCCTTTGTCGGTTCTTATTACTGTCCCTCTTACCCTTGTCATTGATCGGCATTAGTGGTTAGATATGTCGGAGGGTGTCCTGCTTCCTCTTCCTCATCGGGTTTTCCACATTCCATGGATGCATCCCTTCAGGGATGGGGTTCATGGGTTGATCAACTGGAAGATTCGGAGTTTATGGTCTGCAGCCTAGTGGTCTTATCCTATCAGTGTCTTGGAGTTTCTTGCTGTAGGTCATGTTTTGGTTCATTTTCTCCATCTGGCCAGAAATCATCTGGTAATGATCCATTCTGACTTTTCTTTAGTTGTTGCTCATCTCATTCATCAGGGCAACACCTGTTCTCCATACCTCTGTATGCATATGTTGGATCTTCTTTTGGGCCCACATGCTCACTAATTCTATCATTGCGTGTCAGGTTCTGGGTGCTTTCTTTCTTGCTGTGGATCAGATTTCTGTCCAGACAATATTTATCCAATTTCGATCCTTTTGTTTTCCAGTGGCTTTGACTTCAGTGGGGTACTCCTCACATTGAGGCTTTTGCTATGTCCCTTAACCACTAATTGCCTTGGTCTTGGTCTTCGGTTAATGTTTTTGCTCTGGCTATCTGTGTTTTCACATTTCTCTATTCTCCCATTCTCCTTCTTCCCTGGGTGATCTTGTTCATCCTTGACACTTCATGTTCAGTCCTTCTGATACTCTTTCTTGGCTGTCTCAGCTGTGGTTTCTGCAGCTTCTCCAGCTCCAACTTTCTCCTCCATTATCTTTACTTCTGTCTCCATCCCTTCTTCTCCACCCTCAGTCACCAGTATTCCATCCAGACCTTCCTGTCCTCTGTCTTCACACTTGGTTTTCCTCTGGTCATTGGCGAGGTGATCTGGCTTGTTTCATTTGCCCTTCCTACATTGAAGTTTCTCAAAGCAAATGGAATTTTTCAATCGTTGGTTTCTGGGTTCAGGGTTTTTCCTTGATCAACCCTCTGTTCTTAATCATGCAGATTTCCTCCCTTGACTTTTATATTGGAGGTCTTCTCTCTCCTTGGTCTTGGATTTTTAGGCAGTACTGGCCCACATCTTTTGTTTTTCCAAATCCCTCAGGTATTTACCTCTTCTCCATTTTACCCATTGATGTTTTTCTTCTGGATTTGTCATCTGCCATGGCGGGCTGCCCTTCCAGATGGGGGATATTAATGTGGTCCTGCGCTGCCTCATTTTACCAATGTGCAAACCAATTTTCCAATGCTCCTTGTTTTCCTTCTCCTATTTGCCTGTGGACATCAGTGGTCTGTTTATTTGCCATCGATGTTGCATGTACTCTTTATCCTTCTACACATCTTTGTTTTCTAATTGTTTTACCTCCCTAACACTTTGGCAGCTCATGAGGATAACTTCTCCATTTAGCCACTTTCCCTTTTTTCTGTTTCACACCTTTATCCTCATCTTGATCCGGATAGAGTTCTATGTCCTGTACATGCTATTCTCTGTTATATTTCTGCATGGCTTCCTTCTGTTGTGTCCATTTCTGCCTCTTTCTCCCTTGAAAACCATCCTCTGTTCGTGTTTTTTCATCTTCTTCTTCTGCCCATTGAGTTCGGCTCTTCATTCCATTGGCTTCTTCCTCTTTATCATCTTCCTCCCATACTTTGTTCTGAGTGTTTTCTCATCCAAATTGGCACCTTACGTTTTCACTGGCTTTTTATATTTGTCGTCCTTTGGAGGTACTTCTATCAATTTATCTTATTCACATGTGCCTCATTCATGAGTCAGGGGGTAACAGATTCCCTCCGGTCTCATAAACTTGAGGTGAAGATGGTATGATCCTCTTTCCTACCATGGATGTCAGTTCCCAGTGGTGTGAGTTTTCGATTGTAGTTGACCTTCCAGTGGTATGATCCTCTTTCCTATTCCCACATAGATGTTGGTACCTTGCAGCCAGGTTTTGAATTATAATTGACCTACTGATGGTATGATTCCCATCCTACTCCCACGAGGATGTCAGTTCCCAGCAGATTGGGTTTTGGATGTAGATTACTTGCCATGTATGGTCTGTTGTGCACTAGTCAGTCTACACTTAGTGGCACATGCTTTTTATTTTACCCATTTTTATGATTTCTGGTATTGAGTTTCATAATTACTGCATGGTTTGGATCAGTTTCCAGCCATAGTTCTCTCCCAATTGGATCTGTTCCTCTGTTTTCTTCCCATATATGCAACATCTTTCTATGATGGGTTCAGAAGTGGTGCGGTTTCCCACGTCAGATCTTAGAATCTGACTATCTCATTTTAGGAAATGTCCTATGGTCACTTTCAAAGGATGCATCTTTCTTTCCCTCCACCTATTCAATGTGGTATTTTAGCTGTTTATTTGAGTGGAGGTAATGTACCGTATCAGAAGTTATAATTTTCCTACTTTGAAAATGTATTTTCAATAGCTACTTACCACCCCTCACACTTTCCACTCTTCTTTCCTACTGAAAACTGATGCTTCCATCTTCTGCCAAAACTTGAAGTGATAGTTCCATAGAATTGAATAGAGGGAGTCACATGTCATGGGAGTATGTTGCACTCTTATTGGTGGAGGGTTGACGCATGATGATTTCCAAGAGAGACACATTGGAATCAGTCAATTCCAATGGAGGGGAGATAGAAGGCTTGTGCCATGCATAAAAAAATGTGTTTGAATATAGAGGGCAGCACTGAACGAGAATGGCTATTTATGTGAAAGGAGGTAATTACCTATCAGAAATGAATTTTCAGTGTAGGAAAAATATAATTTTCAGATAGTTAGTATTCTACAAACTAGTGATATAATTTTTAAATACATTTATGAATAAATATAATGGGGCCAGGGGTGCCCATTATTTTAACATGGTGACAATAGTAAAATAATAATAAAAAATAATAGATCTAGATCTAATAATAAAAAGAAATTACTTAATAAATTTTTTTTTTAATACAAACCTGCCATATTTTTTGATCTTGTAGTCTGATGGTAAGAAATGATTCTTGTACACAATGCTGTTGGGTGATGGCCACCATAGCTTTCAGTGATCATTCACACAACAGATAACAATCACACATGCTCTTTACTTTTCTTTGTCTTCTGGAAATTCATAACTGCTACAATTATTACAATTCAGCATAATACATTTCACTAGTATTATAGATCAAATTTTAAGAGATCATTTATGGTTGTTGACTTGGCTCTACTTGTTTACAACAACACGACGCAGTCAGTCAACCAATTGCATGCCAAAACAGGTGCCAATTTTTAGGCCAGATACGTGCTGCCACTTTATGAATAACATTATGATGTAATTTTTCTAAAGTCTCTTATTATGTCAATGTGGAATTCGTCTATCGTATTTCAATATTTATTAGGATTCCTTATATTTTACCAATCTTTTCTGTGATGTTTAAGTTGATTATTTTATAAATATTACTGTGTGTGTGTGTGTATATAGAAAAAGCATACCTTTTTTATTTTTCTGTTTGCCATGGCTACTTGGTGCCCAGGATTCAGCTTGCTATTTCTTGTTTTACTAGGCACTACTTGTACTGTTCTACCAGTCATGTTCTGCATATGTACACAGGGCTTGTACAGAAATAGCTTACTTTGACATTGGGCTTGCATCTATACATGTGTACACAGGGCTTGTACAGAAATAGCTTACTTTGACATTGGGCTTGCATCTATACATGTGTACACAGGGCTTGTACAGAAATAGCTTACTTTGACATTGGGCTTGCATCTATACATGTGTACACAAGGCTTGTACAGAAATAGCTTACTTTGACATTGGTTGCAATATATCTGCAGGATATTACTATAATCTTGCAATGAGTCAGCCACTTATTAAAAGGTTTGAATAGGAATATTATGTTATTTCTGTTAAAAAAACACTTGCGAATGTTTGCATGTATTAAGAAAAGTTGTGTGAAGGAAGGAACTAAAATGTGTAATTTACCAAGTTTCCTGTGCCGTATACATTATATCTTTATTCAGATATAATTAGATAGTTTTTGTATCACATCCATATTAAGTTGATGTCACATGCTCATCAACATCTACTAATCCTCAAGTCTCAAGCTGACATGTAAGCACTTTTGTGTAGACTTCTAGGAAGGTAGCTTATTCAAATGGCTAATACAGACACTTTGTACAAAACTAGCTTGGGATAGTTAAAGTTGTATGTAAAGTAGTGATTGAAGCAAATAACTTAAGAATTATGGGATATTACCCTCAGGCTTCAGTTTGAATTATGAAAGTGGGTTATTTCTATGATTCTGGCTTTCTCTTGTTTTGCATGTCTTATGTTTAGCTTGTGACCCTGTTCTCGACCCTAACAACCAGACAACAATCATTCATGCCAGTAAGTTAAGTTACTAAAAAGCAGACAGTTTTTTACAGTTAATGATATTTTGTTTGTTTGTCCACATGCGTTTATTGTTTTCCTTTTCTGTGTTCAATTTATTCTTTACATTACAGTCCTTAACATGCGTTTTGCGTATACTTTTAACAACCTGGCAGATACCATGTGTGAATAACATACATGTAGGCTTTTGGGTTTGACAAAACAGACTTGTATTTGAGAAGTAATTTATTGCACATGCTTTTTGACTTACTTGTCAATCACAATGAGTTGATGTCTGACTGTAATTATTTTGATGTCACCTCATTGTCTGAGGTACATGTACTCACACACTAGTAATTCTAATTTTTACTTGTAAGCATTTATCTAAATTTGGAACATTTTTCTGGTATTGAAATCAGCACTAAGAATTGTTTTCTGTGTACATGTTTGTATTTATTGACCTTGTGGGATACATTGAGAAAAGAAAAAAATATCAAAATTTGTAAACTTCCTTCCAGAGGCGTCATTAGGCACCAACACATGGGGCCTTTTCCTGGATTCTATCTGACAGTGCTCCGAATCCGCAGTTATTGTTTTGAAAAATCAGATTAGAAAACAATGGTCGATATCATACTGAAATGCAGAAAATTTCCATGCTTATGGGCTCAAGCCCAGAATCTTTTAAGCAACTAGTGATGTCTCTGATTCCTTCAATGTAATATTTAAGTTACATATACATGTAGTTTGATTACATTCGCTTAATGTGATTTTTCGTAGCATATTTTTTATAGACTGTTAGTAAACAAACTCCTAAGGATTGAACAATAATTTTTAAAAGAGATTTTACAATATAGTTAATATAATTTGGTTGAATAAATTTCAGATCTATGACCAGATGCCAGAACCTCGCTGGGTGATATCAATGGGAAGCTGTGCAAACGGAGGAGGGTACTATCATTATTCATACTCAGTCGTAAGAGGTTGTGACAGAATTATCCCAGTAGACATCTACGTGCCTGGTATGTTACATTTCTAAATATTGTCATTTAAACATATAGAAACTCACAGGTCACCAGATTATTTGACCTTGGTGTTGCATTGTTGATTATTGATCTGTGCTCTATCAACTTTTTTTAATTTTAGGCATCTGCACGTTATATCTAATGGACTTATGGTACAATTAAATAAAACAAGAAAATACTAGTTTAGAGTCTATGTTTTCTATCAGTTGCTAACAAATATTTTCACAAATAATTACTGTTAATCACTCGGTATTTTGTCTTCATTCTTAACCATTTGATTATTTAATATATTTTTTAGAATTATTACTTACAAATATTCGTACAACATCAGCATCTTTGTTTATAAAATATTATTAATTAATGTAATATATGGATGGCTAGGTACCAGTTGGTCCTTTAAGGTTGTCATTGAACCTTTGACTCATAAGAAAAGTAAAAATTTAAACCCCAACATTTAATTTTTAAGCAACTTATTTATTTCTTTTTTTTTCCTCAAGCACTTGTAAGGTGCCAGTCTCCAGTCTTGCTAATAATAACTCATTCTAAATGAAAACTGTCTTAACTGCAGCCTATCCTGTCTTTTCCAAATCTCATAAATTTTGTGTCCTTTCATTCTATTATCTTCAGGTCACAGCAGAAAAAAACCAGAAGCCTTTATTTCTTGGTATCTTGAATAATCTTGTAAACTTGAATAAGATCACCTTTTTACCATTATTTACTCAAGAGAACATAAACTAAGATGATCCTTCTATTTCTGGAATCATCGTAGTAGCCTTCTTCTGAACTCTTTCAATAATTCATTATCCTTTCATAGATACAGACCAAAACTAGACATAATATTCCAATGGAGGTGTAACTATAACTTTGAAATAAACATGGTTATAAATACATTCTAAAATACTATTAACTTTAATAGTAGCAACTGTCAATTGGTCTATAAAAGTATTTTAAATGTACTCTAAAGAAATAAAAGGGGTTAAATTGAACTTGATTTTAAAGAACATGAAAATACTGTGTTTATCTTCTTCCATGTATTATATAAACCATATTTTAAAATAAGGGGTAAGTATTATGATGAGATTTATACATTATGTTTAATTCTTTAGAAATTGGTTAAGAATGTAAATACTGCTTTAATATGTGTGTGTGGTAGTTTGTAGTTGATTTTAACACAAAGCATTTCACATATCAAAAAACTAACAATACCAGTAATAAAGATTAAGAATGAATTGATAATCTGTTTATTGTTTTAACTGTGGAATAAATACTTAATTAATTAATCAGTGAAATTTCTCATTAATATACTAAAGTCTCCGAGTGGCCATGAAAATGGACAATGCAGCAAGAAAAACAACACTATTTCAGTTTATTTTTTAAACATGTATAAATATAATAAACTAATGGAATCTAATATTTAACAATAGTTACATATAAACAACTAGTAAGTTAAACTTTCTAGTGATATTTGTCAAAACATTTCAGATTAAAGAAAAAAATTTTGAAAATACAAGTTGTTGTGTTGAGTTTTTATGGAAACTTATACTGATAGAAATTTCTACTTTCTTTATCTGTATAGTAAATATATTTTAAATTTATTAATCAAGTGAGTTTTGTAAAGAATGAATGGTTTTTAAAAACAGTAAGATACAAATTTATTAGATAAAGTAACATTTAAAAGAGAAATTTGGCAATTTGATGTATGTATGCTTGCAGTTTGTTTCCTAAAATTGTTTGAATTATTTTCATTGATAGGTTGTCCCCCAACAGCAGAGGCTCTTCTGTATGGAGTACTACAACTACAGAAGAAAGTGAAACGCATGAAATCAGTTCAGATGTGGTATCGAAAATAAACATTTGTCTATGATGACAGCCTCATTTTCTTATGTTGAAATAGATTTAGATAATTTAACCTCTTACAGTATTTGTAAATAGACCCTGCTAAGTTTAGTAATCAGGATGTTTTGTTTCTGTATCTGTAACAGGATATTTGAATACATTGAACAAGGTTTCTAATGTAAAGTGCCAGTGTTGTTCTGGCTGTTTAGTTGTGAATAAAGTTGTAAGAAATGCTATGTGTTGGTATAAAAGTAACAGAGCTGAAACATAAAAAAAAATACATAAGAGTGTCCATGTATGTGTGGAATCTTACTTTATGGCAGAAATGAATTTTTAATGGAAGAACAATAAAAATATTTCCTACAATTAGTTTTTTGAAATAATTCTTTAATGTACGTGTATTATTGTTTTTGTCATTAAAGTAAATTTGACATTGTTATTACACCACAAATGTGCTTTCAATAAGCATGAAATAAAATTCTCTCTAAAAATTCATGTATTCACTACTTCCCATTTTTAGCCACGGCTCATAGAATGGCTCTGAGGTTTTTTTTTTCATGTAAAAACGTTTAACTCATAGCTTCATCATCTCTTGAACAATTTGAGATCTAATTACAGTTTTGTAATGTATTTAACCATGTCCAAGGTCTCATACATCAATTTACTTTAATCCTGCCTAAAGTAATTCAATATGAGGGTAGGCTGATAGAGATCCTGATGAGTAATAGAATCGAATCAAGTATATGTGTGCACCATGCTTGGTATTGCTGGTGCACAAAAATAGAGCTAATAAAAAGGAAAAAAAAAGGTCTCGTAGATTAATTTACTCTAATCCTGCCTAAAATAATTTCAAGTGCCGTGGCTATTGAGGATTCCCTCTTGTTCTAGATTGTATCATAAGTCAAAGTAGCAGTGCCAACAAATATTCCCTTTTCTATAATTTTTTCGACAATTTTGTATCCTTTTATTATAGTCCTTTACTTTCCTTGTTGTCAGAATCAATTTTTGTGTTGTTAGAGCATTGGTCTTTTAATAATACAGAGTAAGGGTAGTTATAAACAAAGTATGGATACTTGGAACTACATATGAACAAAATAGTTTCTGTGCACTCGTAACAGATTATTAGAAATTGGACAATGCAAAGAGAGGGAGCTAGCCAACAAGAAGAAGAAAAACCCGATAAAATCAATGTCGGGAGATAACTAATATGAAGGTGATCTTTTGGTCACATGATTGATGACCCTCAGTATGAATTGGAGGCTTATTTTCATTTAATATGTATAATAGTGTCGATGAATATAATTTAAGGATTATCAGATACCACACCAACTATTTATTTTGAATTAACAGTGTGATATCATCATTCTTGTTGCCCTTGCCCAGCATGCAGAAATCTTTACAATGAACATATAGAAGCTGGCCAGTAAAAGTTGAAGTACCAGAACACTTCTGTTTCCTTTATTGTCTGTCTTTGAAAGTATTCACTGTATAAAATTTTCAGAACCTGCTGCATTATGGAGTCTCAGTATGTCTTTGTGGGGCATACTTGTGTCTGAATACAACAGATTATGTTATTTAGTTATATTTTACTGTTGTGGCCAGGATTTACTTATTTTGGTGTTTAATTTTTCCATTTGTCTCCTTATTATTGGAAAGTTTATAAACTATGATCACTGAATACTTTCTAAAACCGTGAAGTTAATGTAGAGATAAGGAAGCTAGGAAGATGACCAGATGAAGTTAATGTAGAGATGAGGAAGCTACGAAAATGACCAAATGAAGTTCATGTAGTGGTGAGGAAGTTACGAAGATGACCAAATGAAGTTAATGTAGTGGTGAGGAAGTTACAAAGATGACCAAATGAAGTTAATGTAGAGATGAGGAAGCTATGAAAATGACTAAATGAAGTTAATGTAGAGATGAGGAAGTTACGAAGATGACCAAATGAAGTTTATGTAGAGATGAGGAAGCTACGAAGATGACAAAATTAAGTTAATGTAGAGATGAGGAAGCTACGAAAATGACCAAATGAAGTTAATGTAGAGATGAGGAAGCTACGAAAATGACCAAATGAAGTTAATGTAGAGATGAGGAAGCTACGAAAATGACCAAATGAAGTTCATGTAGAGATGAGGAAGCTATGAAGATGACAAAATGAAGTTAATGTAGAGATGAGGAAGCTACAAAGATGACAAAATGATGTTAATGTAGAGATGAGGATGCTATGAAAATGACCAAATGAAGTTAATGTAGAAATGAGGAAGCTACAAAAATGACCAAATGAAGTTAATGTAGAGATGAGGAAGTTATGAAGATGACCAAATGAAGTTAATGTAGAGATGAGGAACCTACGAAGATGACCGGATGAAGTTAATGTAGAGATGAGGAAGCTACAAAGATGACCAGATGTTTTGCAATTGGATTTGGTAGTATAATGGCTGGAGTAGTCCAGAAAGGTTCTTTAATAACAGGTGGCACAGCAGAAGTGGTAATAGATGTAGAATCAAATACAGTAGAATGTGAACCTCAATATTAAGGTCAACATTCTGACTGTATCTAAATGCCCTCTATGGTAAGGTGCCCTTAATATCAAAAATGAACCATGCAAAGCTAGATTCCAAATTCACTGTACTAAACTTTTGAATTTTAAGGTCTCTCATTTTGTTTGGTGTATGCAGGGCATGGGTATTCGTGAGTTGCACATTGCCATGACATGGGGCATTGTCAACAGGAGGTCTCGGGGGGTAGATTAGCTGTGCCCTTTTTTCTTTATTATTGGTTACAAACTTTCAAAGTACTTCTCTTCAGAGATTGAACTTCTAAACATTTCACATTTATTTTCTGGGAAAGTTGGATTCTGTCTCACTTACTTTGTGTTCATATGACAGGTATGCAACTGTCACGTGGAGCAGACGTATTTCCTGATCATTATGATCCAGTTTTTTTTATTTATCAGGCACAGACAAAAATGAATTGTTTGGCATTTTCAAACAGGCTTGTTTCTAATATGAGAGAGTCAAACCTCACTATTGAAGGAGTTTCATCTTTATTTCATTGTTTCTTCTACTGCCCATTGATTGTATATGGATGATCCTCAATTTCAGTAAAGTTTATTTTACTTTAATTAAATACAGTTTTCTTTATTTACTTTTTATTTAAATATAGTTAATTGTTTTTATTGTAATTCAATTCCACAATGCACTACTTTGATAACTACCCTATTCCTTTTTTATTATCTGATAATAAAACACTTTACTTTAACTGCACCACATGTCTTTCATTCTACCTTTAGCAAACCATTATGTATGTCCTTCCAGATATAGGCCATTGGATATTCAGTTATTGTGAAGACCATGTATCTGTGTGCTAGGTTTATCCGCAGAATATTATAGTCATCTTCTCCAAGATAGTCACATAATGATATGCATTGCTTAATACTGATAAGTTGTGTATGTGGATGCAGGAATGTGAGCATGCATTCTGGTTTTTGATGTGAACTTATATTGAAGACCTTTGTTGATTTATCCTTATCAGTATTGTACATTCATCTGGGATACTGGTATCAATGATTGTGGAATTGGAACAGTTTTAACTACAAGATGCTAGCTATACCATAACTGCTCATAAACACCAATACCGTACAATAATGAAAGAATAGCTTGTAGTTTAATATTGGTCAAACCCTATTATACTTGTATTTTGAGCATTTCACCATTTGAATGGCATCACAGAAGTTATTGTACACTGTACAGCTAATACTGTAAGAATATGATATCCTTGTGTGTACCACTTGGGGCAACATAGAGAAACACTAAAAAATTATCTTGCCAGTTTGTGAGATCATGTCCACTTGTTGAATGTCCAGATCCTGAATTCCATGCAGCAGCAGTGATGAGGAACCATATGAACAGGAATAATTTCAGCTTCTGGATATACACCACAGATGATCAGTCATGAACATAAGGACACAGATATAGTTTGTTACGCAGCAGGATAAAGACTATCACAATCTGGCAAACAAAGTACTGGTGCATGTAACAACTGGCACTTTGTATAGTCAGTTACAAGGACACATTGTACCATTGTTATGAAAAGAAAAGGATACAGTAGCCAATATATGATGCTGCTAGTGGTTCTCAAATCCATTAGATGGAAGCGATTTCAGACTTTGCATGATGCAAGGACTAGAAGGAGCCAGGAAGTGCTATGCAGTATTGTAACTGTGAGGAAATGATAGGATGGCTGGAAATGTCATCATTTATTCTTCATAGCAAATGAAGAATGTATCTTTGTTCAAGTATGTGAAGACTTGTTTCTACATTTTCATACAGGTTTCAGCATATAGTTATAACATCACTATAAGCCACCCAGTAGCACAGCAGTATGTTTGCGGATTTACAATGCTAGAATCCGGGTTTTGATACCCGTGGTGGGCAGAGCACAGATAGCCCATTGTGTAGCTTTGTGCTTAATTACAAACAAACATCAATATAAATTGGATATACAGGATCACGGACTTGCATTAACCCTCAATCTTATACTAAGGTTACGTGCCAAAATAATCATTCCATAAATCATTTACTTGTTTCGTTCAATTTCTGTGCCACACCCTCTTGAACTGAAGTCATTTCATAGGTTGTTACAGAAACTTGTACAAGTTAAAATAAGTTGTGATTTGTTCCCCTTGAGTATGTACAATGGTAATGGTCATTAACATATGTAAGCTAAGGATTCTGAATCTAGGACCCTAGTCTTAGTTAACAGTGTAGACTTGTTTCTCCTGAAGTAATTGATTTTTTTCTTTCTGAAAAGCAAACACATTTGTTTGTCATAGTACTCATGTAACAGTACTAACTTGTACCTATAGACATATGTCTATTCAGGTTGCAGTTGGAGTAGTCATCAGCATGGTACTGGAGGCAGAAGTGACAGATACATGGTACTGGAGACAAGTGACAGATACAAGATAAATAGCTGGTGCTGCAGATACATCATTTGTATTTTAACACAAATTACTTGATTTCTCTTGTTGAGAACTGTGCTTGACACAGACACATGGCCAGTCACACATCATTGCATGAATACATCTGGCAAAACAATCAATATGTATGCTTCCTTGAAGCTATGGATAAAAGTGGATGTTGAATAATACATCCTTTAGAGAATGTCTGGTCATATACTTGTGGTGAATGTTAGAAAGAAGGAAATAACAATCAACCAAGGTTATAGACTTTTAGTGAGTAAACTCAGTAATATGTATCAATGCCTCTACTGCATGCAGATAAATGTTTGGTTATGTTGGAAATGATCCTGTTAACTCAATTTGTTAGGTCTGACCCTTGATATTGTAAAGTCGAACTGGATAAAGA